CACCGAAGCCGCTGCAAGACGCGCAATCTGATTGGCAGGCGGTTTGGGCGTGAGTTTAAGGATATTACGCCTCACTTTATATAAAAAATGTAAAAAAATTAATTAAAAGTATCGAAAACCGGATCTGATTTCGGTACGGTATACCGTAACCGGTATTTCGGTAATACCGGGAACTGGTATGCACCCCTACTTTACACTCGCATAAAAAGAGGATTCAGATAAGGATACACACACACATGTCTATTCAGCTACCAAGTATTATAGATTAAGAAGTGCTCTGCTACTTCCTGTGCTCTTCTCTCAGTGAGAGCGTTTCAAATAATCGCAGCGGAATGTGTACCTGCTTGCATCAACAGTCTGTATCCGAGTGGTCTTGTGCTCACTTGACTCGTCTCTTCCTCTCTCCGACTCCTCTCTCCCTCTCCATGCAGGAGGACGACGGGCTGCGGAAGAGAAAGGTGACCTCAATGGGCGCTCCCCACTCTTCCTCCTCCGGCATGGCGACCTCGACCATGAGGGACGAAGGCCTCGGCACCCGCGTCCTGGCGTTCTGCGTGCTCTTCTTCGTCATCGGAGTCATCATTGGCAAGCTGGCCCTGTAGAGACTCAGACAGACGGAGCGCAGCGACAGAGGGACGGCGTGTCGGGACGACGCGTGTCAATGACGGCAACGGGGATGTCTTATGGGTTTATGTTGGTTTCTCTTTCTTTTTCTTAAAACATAAAAGGCAATATCATAATGGTTTGTTGTCTGGATGGAAAATCATTTAAAGTGTAAAGAAGAGAACTAGGGAAGGCGACCCCATGGTAAAACATGAGTGCGAGCGTTTTTGTCACAGGTCTTGCCTTTTTTCTTTTTTTTTGTCAAAATAATCACCTCTGATCTGTTCTTTCCGTCCATCCCTCCTTCCTAAATGATCTTCCGCTACTTGCACAGGTAACAGTTGGGTGTGTGGAAGTGGCTTCACGCTGGCTGAATGTCTAAAGTTTTTAATCGTTGATTCTTAAGTCTTCACGTTCCTCACTTTATCTCTAAGAAAGATCTAACACTCCTCTTCTGATAATCTCTCTTCCACCTATTACTGATAATCTGCAAGGAGAGGTGAACACACATGATCAGTGAAAGACTTTTTTTCTAGATTCAAACTCAATGTAATGTCTTCTAAACAGTATGCGATAAAAATGTGAGCCAGTAGAAGCCGTGTGCATGTGTTTCTTCTTGATTTTGACTGCGTGTGGATGTTTTAATGTGAGTAAATGGGGAAATCACACGCTGTTTTAGAACGGAGGAAGAGGGGTGGCTTGAAAACAAATCTCTCATCTGCACAGATTACCTGTTTACAACAGAAACATGGGGGTCTTTGTTGAAAAGTCGCCATACAACTTGATCGTATTTATCGCTGATATGACATATAGAAAATTGTTAAAAATCCAATAAATCAATACTTTGTTCATTCAATTATTAACTGGTAAAATCAAAAGTATAATAAATAATATATGCTGCATGGTCATCTAGTTAAACAAAAACACTTTAAATGTACTTCAAGACCTTCTAAACGCTGGATAATTACTTCCTCAGGTTGAGAGACGGCACTAGACCAAAACAACAAAAACTCCCCCTTCTTAAAGCAGAACATTTGTCATGCAAAACCATTCTGGATATTTTCAACATATAACATACTGTATGTAACGATAGCTTTGGCCACCTTGTTTGATTTTGCCCATGGAGTATTGTATTTGCGTCCTCTAGTGTATAACGGCAGTTGTTTGCTTTTTTCTTTTCTTCTATTATCATGTAGCCACGATGCTTTGTTTATAATATTCACATGCACTATATTGGAGTGTCCACTCTGCAGTCTGCATGAAATGACCTGGAATTATTATTATTATTTGAGTGTTGAAGTTATATTGGCGAAACAAAAAAAATACTGTCTTCTCAAAAGGGACCATCTTGAGTCTGGTTTATCAGTGTGTGTGTGTGCGCGTGTGTGTTTTGTTTCCTTTCGATTTTTGTTTTGTGTCGGGTTCTGGTGGTGGTGAGATCACTGAGACAACACAGCTGTATTATCTCGGCAGTCACATGACCATCTAAGCAGGTTGTTGAAAAGAGTAAATATCTGTGTTTTTCGTTGCCTGAGGGAGCTCGGGGAGCAGAGGAGTGGAGGAGGACTGACCTGTGAATACACACTACATTAAATAGAACAAAAAGGCATCAGCGCTTCAGACCACACTTGCAAAGATACAGTCACACAACAATATAATCACACGGTAATTGGATACTCTTTTGTATGTACATAAAAATAAAAAGACTTAAAAAGATAACTGGCAAAGTTATTAACATGCTGTAGTAAAGGAAGGAAATTATTAAACAACCACCATTGATCATGTAGCATCATAATGAATTAAAATACATGAACCCCCAACTGTCTGCTTCTGTGAAAAGTTTACTTTTTCTTAATTAGGTTTAGAGAAAGATGTGTGAGTGGAGGCTAAATCAGTTTGATAGTTAAACGGCAAGAGACACTTATTAATCGTCCTAAAAGCCAATATTAAGTGGGGTATGTAGTACTGAAAGAAAACATATTTTGAAATGCTTTACATTGATTCCTTGATATAACACATGAAGATATAGTCAACAAGTGAAATATATTGTATAATGTATCTCTGGGCTCTGGATGGTGTTTATTAAAATCATAATAAGAAGCCTCCTTAGAGACTCCTTTTTAATGTTGGGGTTACAAAGATGTGTCGACCTGGTCCAAAGAACATGATATGGGAATTGTGGGAATTTTGAGCCATACTAGTGAGTAAAAGACAGGACATCATGGAATCTGCTCCATACAGTTCACTGCTCTTTATTTGGTCTCTCTGCTGCATGTCAACCAACTTTATAATTACTTTGTGTATGATAACAAACTATCAAACTAGTTATGTCACATATCCTGCTTGTATGTTCTGAATATAAATCAAAAGTGAAAGCAAATTGAACAAGAATGCTCAGTGACCTGCAGATGGGGAAAAACTTAATATCAGACTTCCTGTTCTAACTGCACCATCATTCTGCACAGGGATGCCCAAATATCTAAGTGAAGTCACTTTTATTTTTAGTGGAGGTCTATAAGGCATTAGCACTTCTACTTATATAACTGTCAGAGATGATGAGGCACATGATCATAACATTTCAGCAAAGTTATTCATGTGTGGTAAATAAATTAAGGATGGAAAACAAATCCGAAAAAATGAATAAATATGTTCTGAAGTTGTATTGTTTTTATTAAACCAGGATTGTGGCAAAATAAGCAGAGAAATTAATCCAATATACTTGAATATAAGCAATTTTTTGCATATAAGTATGCTGATACAGGAACACAATCATCTCTGTAGTGTATTAGCCTATTGGTATGCATGCCTTTAGTGTGCTGGCTGTATTGCCTCTGACAGCTGATGGAAACACAGGAAGTGACATCAGCGGTCTGGGTGAGGCCACAGGTTCACAGGATCCCAGCAGCAGGGCAGTTCACCAACAGGTTACTTTAAAAGGTTCAGAAATTAGTTTAAATATTTAGTAGAATGAATATGATGGGGAGTAGACAGCCAAGCCAACTGGGACCCTGGGTACAGACGAACAGAATAGACCCTACAGCAGGGGTGGGGGACCTTTTTCCTCTCAAGGGCCACTTCAATTTGTACAACATCCTCCGTACAAATTATTGAACTCAACCTATGCTTAAAAAAAAAAATCACAGCCCATTCATTTCGCCTTTCTTTCATGCTGTGCAAAGAAAAAGCAACCTCTTAATCCAGATATCTTACCATGACTCGCGCATGCATGCACGTGCACGGTTTTGGCATAACCACCAAAACAGAAAGATTTGGACACAAGATGTGTGCAAATGTATTTAGTATCCTATCCATGTGAACATGATTTAAGTGGGGGGTGGACCTAACATCCTCTAGGGGGGTCCGGGGGGCATGCTCCCCCGGTAAGATTTTTTTTTAAATGTTGAAGTTAAAACCATCAATCTGGTGCACTTTGAGAGCAACATTAGGAGATCTATGGATACATCTCTCAACATCCATATGAAACAGAACTGTAAGCAGATTTTATTTTTCTTTATGGATATTTTACAAATCCCTCCCCTTTTAAACTGTATTCTTGTTTATTAATAACCACTTTTTTTTACTGTCATATAGTATTTTATACCTGTTTACTTTATTCTCTTATTTTTTTATAACTATAATAATCATATAAAGATGTGCCTTTACCTCACTGGTTGTAGAAAAAGCTTCTTATATTCGTTAGCATAGCTAGCTAACCAGATGCTAATAACAACAAAGTTATTGACTGTATGATCAGTATGTCAGATGAACAGATCGCCACTGGGCTTACAACTAAAGACACAGCAAAAACTGAGGCATGTGTACGGCCCCTTATGGGTACTGCAATTTTTGAAGTGCCGGAGCGGCGTTCCAATGCTCTCTGTCAGAACTGCACCCCTGTCAAACGAGACTACCACCTGATGACACGTTAGGCTTGTGTTGTGTTCAAGGACCCTGACCGTGGCCAGGAAAAACAGGCACTCGCTTGTTTAATTCTTTTGCGGTCTAGATTTTTTTTTTTTTTTTTTTTTTTGCGTGTGTTTATAAATTACCTCGAGGGCCGTATCAAATGGTCTCGCGGACCGTATACGGCCCGGAGGCTGGAGGTTCCCCACCCCTGCGCAAGACAGACATACTTCATACTTTAAGTGTGCTAAGCCACTTTTTGTTTATGTTTTTAGTCTTCCTTTTCTGTCCGTCCCTTTGTAGTCCTTTTATGTCAATTTGTGGTTGTTTTATTTCCCTTTTTTATAGTCTTTCTGAGTCTTTTTGTGTCACTTTCAGATCTCTCAAATATAAAATAAAGCCACATAGTGATATGTAGTGCTTCAGTGGTCCAGCAGGCGGAGACAGAGAACAACAAGACCCGCCCTCTCATAGGCAGCATGACGTCATGGGGCCTTTTCCAGGAAGTAGAAAAACGTCAACAATCAGGCCAGGGCGAAGTGTCAGTGTAGCCTAGCAGTGAGGTAGCTAAGCTTGCTTCTCTCGGGTGTTTCGCAGATTTTCTTTATTTTTTTATATAATTAGTGTAAGTGTAGCGCTCAGACATGTCGTTGTTTGCTAAGATATTTGGAGGAGGTGGAGGAAAAGGAGGAAAGGGACCGAGCCCACAGGAGGCGATCCAGAAACTCCGAGAGACGGAGGAGATGCTAACGAAAAAACAGGAATTTCTAGAGAAAAAGATCGAACAAGAACTGCAAATCGCGAAGAAAAACGGCACGAAAAACAAAAGAGGTAAGATACCAGGACGTATTTTGTGGTCATGTATACCCCCTTATTATTAAATAACCTGTTCCACAACGCTAAGCTAAATGTTAGCACGTTAGCTGAGTTGGCTAACTTTGCCCAGCTGTCAGAAGTGTTGGCAGCCTCACCCACCGACAGTATCACCGAGATACCAGGGTGTTTGTTTTGCATTGTCTGTGAGAGTTGATTATATCGTGATTGTTTATCTTTACTACTTCTCACTGAGCAAATGCTAGCTTAATATGTTTCCCTGTGGTGGTCATTTTGTCGCCTCATTGATCAGTGGCCATTTAAAGATCATAAAGGTGTGGCTAAAGCGCTACAGTTAACTGTTAGATATACTGCTGCAGAGACACTGGAAATATAGATAATGTCTCAGAGTGACAGGATAAGAGTTGTGCATCAGAGTTGCACATGTTAAAGGACATGATGTCACTGTCAGAGAGGTGGGCGTGTTTGCACCTTGGTCAGAAACCACAGACCTGCTGCAGCTCTGACATAATGTTATAGAAGACAGAAACTAAATACAGAGTACCATAAACTTAAGTTACATCACTATTAATGATGGAAATGTGGGAACAAGAGTATTACCATAACCCCATACTTTTTTTACTGCATATGTAGTACAGTAACTAGGTAACACGATTCTCCATGTTATATATTTTCATGAAAAACAAAACAGATGGAAGAACAGATTAAAAGACTAACATATATGAAGAGATCATGTTTGTTTCTCTATTAACTAAACGTCAAATAAAGTCAGGAAGTCAAACTGATATGTTGATACTGTAAACAGTTTGACATTTTGGTTAGTTACCAAAAAACGTGGGATACACCCTAACAGCTCAGTAGTGTATCATGTGGAAGTGTGGGCAGTAGTTCTGAAGACACTACTGCCTTAAAGTGTTGGTTAAGGGCAAGACAAATCAAATGCAATCATCTTCTGGGGAGGACAACAACAAAACAAATCTCATGCCAATCTGGACAATCGTTGTTAAGATATGTTGTGTGCTGGAAATTCCACACTTAATCCCCTTCTGGTAAGAAATGAACAAATCTACAAGGTTAAACCAAAGTTGTGTTCATTAATGAAGAGTTCAAGCATTTAACAGAATCAATCTATGTCCAGCTAGAAGGCCAGATAACCCTGCACCAATGTGTGCTAAAGAAATCTGACCCTGGATCAAACAATACAATGGTGCCTGTCGAATGGTAGAGAACATTATGTTGCCATTCTTGTGTATTAAAGGTGTGAAAAAGCCTCTGAGTGGCAGCCGTAGTGAGCCACGCAAAATCATGTTTACATGGAACTGAATGACACTTAAATGACACATTTCCACGATATGTTGCTCTTGATTAAAGTGTTGGAAAAGATGAAAACTCTTGGGACAGGCCGACCAACAGGAAGAATAATGTCATCACATATGGAGTAAAACATATCATTTGTTATTGCCATGATAGTTCATACATTTATATTGCCCTGCTTGATCCATTTAGTAAATAATCTGTGGAGGTTAAAGAATAAGTTGTAGACCCCTTGGTGGTACACTAAAAGAAAAACAAATGTTATCTTGTATTTGTATTGTATGCTTTGTGCACATTGACCTTAGCCTAAATATTTCCTCCTTTAGCTCCACAAAGGTTGACAGAATGAGTCAGCCCTGTACGACAATGTCTGATAGTTTCGCTACCGCAGGTGTGTTAGTGTTGTGGTCATGTGACCACTGAGGCTGATTCATGTTTTACCCTTTTTCCATCTCGTCGTCCAAGTGCCTGTCACAAGCTATAACTGAGTGTCCTTCTCACTATCATGGTAGTGTATGGTTTATTTATGATTCCACTCAATGGTGGATCACTGTAATTTCCCAGAGCACAAGTATATTGACTTACACTCCTAATGTTTGACCACAAATGAATCCCCATGACTTCACAGTTTTACTTCACGGTTATTGAATGTAATTTCCAAGCAGCCAGTCTATTTTTGTGACCATCTTTTCATGTTCCCTTGCTGTGTTTTGTGTCCTCAGCGGCTCTGCAGGCTTTGAAAAGAAAGAAGCGATATGAGAAGCAGCTCGCCCAGATCGACGGCACGCTGTCGACCATCGAGTTCCAGAGAGAGGCTCTGGAGAACGCCAACACCAACACTGAAGTGCTCAAGAACATGGGCTTCGCTGCCAAGGCCATGAAGTCTGCCCATGAAAACATGTAAGAGCAAACATCCAGTAATGTGAAGTGAAGCCTGTTTATACAAATATTGTATTTGTAGCCCGCTGCTTCTAAATTGCCTTTCGGGTAAAATAAGGTCTGTGTGTTTTTAAATCAATAGAAGGATTAGGAGGAAAATGCTTCAATCCTAAAAAAACACAGAGGATTTGACCCGTTTGCAGTAATACCTCCTAATCCAAACCCATCAGCATCTATTATGTAATCAGTGGCAGGCCTCAGAGTAACATGAAGAATATTCCGTTCAATTCAAGGCTTTATTGTCATTTGCACATTAGCTACAGTGTAGATATGGCAATGAAAAACCTAGGGCACAGGCTCCTCCAACAGTGCAACATATAGGACATAGAACAAATAAAACAGATAAAATAGTGCAAGTAAATACAAATAAAATAGAAATAGTGCAAGAAGAGTCTATATACAAGTACATGGAATATGATATATTAGATAAATAAGTTGCAAGATGCAGACAGATGAATGTTTATGGATGTTCTTTAAAAAGTTCAGGTGTTTAATAGTCGTATGGCCTGTGGGATGAAACTGTCCCTGAGTCTGGTGGCTTTATATATATATATAGTAAAGAAAAGCACTCGTTTACTCAATAATTGTGGGGGTAAATAATGCTTGTAATCGTGCGTTCTGTTTCACTCAAATACAAATCCTCTTGTTTGTTGTTTCAGGGACATTGACAAGGTGGACGACCTGATGCAGGACATCACAGAGCAGCAGGAGCTCGCCCAGGAGATCTCCGACGCCATCTCTAAACCTGTCGGCTTTGGAGAGGAGTTTGACGAGGTGAGCGACCGTATCCATATTTTAGATTTGTGGGGAGGTCATCTTGTATTTCATCTTTGAGACAGAAGACTGTTGTTTTGAGAGCCACAAGGTTATACCGTTTGTGGTCCTTTGCATTTCTTGAGTCATTACTCAGGCATTAAGGCTGCCTTATTTTTGAATGGCCTTATTCATAGACCAACTTCACCATAATTGATGGTATTCACTCATTCAGGGACATATGGCAGAAAGAAATGCTCTTCCTCAAATCTAGCCAACTGACTTTGAGTACTTTAAAAAACTCAGAGAGATGTTTTACTCGTATCACCAAAAGTCCCTTTTTACATTTAATCTACATTGTTTTACTAAGGTCAATCTCTTTGTGGTTTCTGTTCTGCATGAATTTGTCTCGTAAATATCCTCATCTGAAAAGTTTCTGCTGTGTTTGTCAGGACGAGCTGCTGGCGGAGCTGGACGAGCTGGAGCAGGAGGAGCTGGACAAAAACCTGCTGGAGATCGGGGGTCCGGAGAACGCCCCCCTCCCCAACGTGCCTTCTTCTTCATTACCTTCCAGACCTGGTAAGAGCCTTTTGGAAAAGCACATTCATCAACTCTAACTGTGGCTGTCAGGCTTCAAACGAGAGGTTGTGGGTTTGATCACTGCAGTGAACATGTCAATGTACTGTATCCTTGGGCAAGATGACTTGTGAATGTAAAGCGCTTTGAGGGCTCGTAAAGACTGGATAAAGCGCTATATAAATACAGTCCATTTACAACTTGACGGAGCCTACTGCAGCATCTTTCTTCTTTTAGATGAAGGAATAGTTCAAGACTCTGGCAGTGAATTAGATGAGGGGTTTTGGCTGATATGGGAGTAATGTGCCCTGCGTAGTTGCCAGGTAACCAGTAGAGAAGTTATCGGTCAAGGCCAAAATAAATAGTCACACGAAACATAACACCACCCCTTACATTTAAAACAGACTTAAAACATTTGTATGGATTCAAGAAAGGATATATATGAATGATGAATGAGATGTGCTGGTATATTACTGCTGAGCAGAACCACAGTAGCTGTTTCCTTATGCTAAGATAAGCTGCTGCTTTAGCTTTATTTCATTTCATATATTCCATTTTGGGAAATGACTACATCCATGTTTTTCTAATTGGAAACAATCCAAGTGTATGTATGTGCATGTTTGTGTGTGTCTCACCCAAATGCATCTCCAAATCCCCACACACAACATGGTTCTTAAATGCCATCCCTTGCCATAACAGTGTTTCCCCTAGTTTTACTGCTTTGGGGGGGGGGGTGCTGCCTGACCAACAACAAACAATATTATTGTTATTGAATAATGCATCAGTGTTTCTTAGGGTCAAAAACACTAAACTCACAACTTAAAATGAAAGCGTTTAGTTTATTTAATAAAAGAGCACATGTTCAATGTGAAAAGTGATAGTAGATATAGATTAGTTGCAATTTGGTGCTATATATATATTGCACTATAAAAAAAAAAGAATTATTAAAAAGCATGTTTTATTATTATTATTTTTTTTTTTAAACACCTTGAATTTCAGGGGGGGCGCTGCACTCCGTTGGCGGAGCGCAGCGCCCCTCCAATACAATGGTAGGGGAAACACTGCATAAGATAAGATGTACTTTATTGATCCCAATTTGGGAAATGTTGGCGTTGAAATTCCAATTGACAGTAAACTAAATATAAAGAGGTTTGTAAGGAATGGAATATTAAATATAAATGTAAAATGTACAGTGTGAGTTAAGTCCAGTTATCCAAGAGACGCTATGGAGCAGTGAGTTCTCTGCCATCCACATTATCAGACACAATAGTCTACTTTTGGAAACATTCATTTAACAACCAATTGCCTGCTTATGGGCCAATAATATATCGGCTCCGGTGTATCCTGCATCCCTCTTCATGAGCAGCTAAAAAAACTATACCATTTTATTCCATATCTCTAACAACTGTTTTGTCTTTACCCTCGAAGCCAAGAAAGAGGAGGACGAGGACGACATGGAGGACCTGCAACGCTGGGCGATGGAAGCCATGTGAACGCAGCGCTGCTTCATCATACCTGCATCAGAGAGGGACGAGAAGGAGCCAGAGGGAATGAATGGACTGATAGGATGTTGTGTATGAGTATATTTTTGTGTGTCTGAGAAGAGCTGACTTTATGTAACACTAAAAAAAGCAACAATGCTGTAGACTTTGTTTTCCTGTCCCCTTCACAATACAGAGACCCCTGAGTATCAGGGGCTTTTATATCGAGGCTCTATCCCTGTCCTTTAGGAAAGTCACATCATATTTTTACCCTCAATTTTAACACAAGCCTAGCTCCTAACGGTCATTGTACTGGGCAGGGCTACTCGGCGCCCACAGAGTTCATACTGAAGTGTAATATGATGAGTACTGTGGTACGAAAAAGGCGTTGTTATCAGATTAGTGTTACAGGCCGTGTGGCGATGCTAACCTCCCTGTATGACGGGAATTTTCATGGAAATGTAATCCTCAAAGAGCTGTTTCCGACTCACATATTTACCTGTGTTTGTGGCGTTAAACTGGCTGGATGTTTTTTTGTTTTATTTCTCCCTACTTGACAAAAATAACAGTCCTTATCTCTCTGTTTTTTGTTAATGCTGTTGAAAATAGGAGAAAAGCTGAGCATGAGCTGGGTGAAGAAGCTATGAGCTGTCTGTTTGACAGAATATGAATCTTTTCTTTTGTTTCAGGCTGCGTGCTTTGTCTCTTTTATCCCCTCTTCTTTGCCTCCTGTCGCCATGTCAGCGGCTTCTCCCTCCATCAAAGGCGTTCACACCAGTGGTTCTTGTTATTTGGTGTAAATATCCCAAATGTGTCTCTTTTTATATACTGTATTTCTGCCGTCAATGAGAGGTTCAGTCGAGGTTGTGTGAAGCATGCAGCAATTTGGGAATCACGATACAGATCACTCCGCACGGCTAGGAAGGAAGATGTTAAACACAACACTTTCATCAGGCTCTGTCTGTCTCCGTCCTTTCCATAAGGGTTTCTGTTTCAAATTGTATAATGTTGAAAAAATAATCATAATAATAAACTATTGTCACATCTTATTAACTGCATCTTGAAGGAGATGGTGCTCTGTAAAAGATTAGATTATAGTCAATCTACAACATTTTGGAGTTTAAAGAGTTGATTCCTTTAGTTTTTCAAGTCATGATGTACATTTTTTACATAGAAAAAAATAACAACACAAGGAACAATGGACAAGCATGTTTGCATTTATATGTTTTATTTATCCAGATGAGAATATTATTTGCAAAATCATTAAAGGTTTTCAATTCTTTTATTGTGGTTTTGTCATTCATGTTAAAAGTTCAGAATATCTACTATCAAAGAAAAGCACAAGATGCTCACATTTGGGAAGCTGGAGCTCTCACATGTGGCGTTTTAAAAGCGTTATTACATTTCTACTTGTGGATAATAGATTTTGATCAAATATAATGATTAGTTTTATCATATAATATTCAAATTGAACACAAAGTGATATCAAGGTCAAGATGATCAATAATAAATACACTGAAGTCAAGTCCTTCCATAGCCTTCATTATGGGTACATTGCCAAAACAAATTAGGAAGTGTTCCTGGAAGTGCATAACACATTTAACAATTTACCAGAGTTGTGAAGTAATTGAGTACATTTACTGTACTTAAGTACAATTTTAAACATTACATTTATGCTACTTTGTACTTCTAGTTCACTACAATTCAGAGGTAAATAGTGTACTTTTACTCCATTACATTTATTTTGTACCTTTTAGTTACTTTAGTAGATTTGGATTATGATGTGAAATATAATCAACTCTTAAATCAGACTTTAGTTCCACCTGGAGTATATTCACAAGCTACCCTGCAGTATACAAAGTCATTAAAAATAGCTGCACCTTTACCAGCTTTGATAACACTTAATGCAACAATAATTATAATCAAAACATATAATATATATTATTCTGAAATGGACCAATCTACATAATGAGTACTTTTGGTACTTTAAGTATATTTTGATCCTCATATTTGTGTACTTTTACTTGAGAAACATTTTGAATGCAGGAATTGTACTTGTAACAAAGTATTCCTACACTCTGGTACTTCTACTTTTACTAAAGTACAAGATCTGATTACTTCTCCCACCTCTGCAATTTACAATGATTTCCTTTCTCAACTTGACAATATAATTATAGGAAGGGTATTATCCATGTATAATTAAAGTTTAGGTCTGCCTTATTGTATTAGTCAATAAATCCAATTAAGGACAATAACTATAATTTAGCAAGAGTTACTAAAAAAACAGACCTTTTGACATTTCTTCAGGCAAGCATGTTGAATAGATATGCAGGGGGTCGAAGCACTGAAAGAGATAATAAATCAGCTAACATACAGTATGTTATAAAAGGTGCTTAGATTCAAGGTTTCCTTTCTTTGTGCAGAACAAAACAGATCAGAAGTGCACGTTAATGTCCTTATTTTATCTTCAAAGACATATCTTAGAACCATAAAAACCTCCTTTAACCTTATTTATTATCAGATATGTATCAGATAGACTTTTCTAGCCTTTCTGCAGCAGTTTAATTGTTGTTCTTGAACACCCACACGGAAGGCGACGTCGCAAATTGATTACGTCAGGATCAGCCGACTCCACGCCTGCGTACTGCTGATCCAACGCTGATGCAAGAATTTTTTAGCGCAGCATTGTGGGACTGATCGAGGGACAAAAAGTAGCCAGATTTGAGTCACTTTACAGCCTGCAAACATGTCAGGAGACGAGGTAAGTCACCTCGGGTTGTTCGCTGTGTGGTCTGTGTTGCTGTGTATGTTTATTTGGTGAAATAATGGTAATTATCGCGTTAGATGGGTGTAGAGATGACTTTGGGCCTCGGCTGGCTGCTCCTCCCTGCTCGCCGCACCAGACCTCACATGGCTGCGGCTAGCAGCAGCCCGGCCTGCCTGAATGAGAAGCTAGCATCCAGTACATCGCTGCATCACGATCTTTCTCATCGAGATTATTAATAATTATTCCCGTGGTTTAGGATTCTGCCGTGTCACAGCTGTTGGTTAACTCCTATTATACGGTCGATGTTAGCTAGCTAGCTAGCTAGCGTTAGCTGGCCGGTTACTAAGCTAACGGTCGGTGTTCTCTACCAGAAACAATAGCTACTGTTACCGAGTTGTAACGGTGGTTCTGTTTATTTGCTATGGACAGTTAACACCGACACAGCTGAACTGTCATGTTTATGGTTGTCAACATTATAAAAAGGAAATATCACGAAATTATTTTATTTGACATTTATTTTAATGAGCTGTATAGAGTCACTCAATGTACCCGTGTGACTATGTGGGTGCTATCTCTATGTTCTGATACAAACCAACATTGTACAAATATTGTAAGATAGATATATAGAAATATACTTTATGTATCCCATGTTGGGAAATTGTTTTGTCACACCAGCATTTTTGACAGTCATTGTGCAAGTTTTACAACATTTGTTAAAAATAAAATACTAATACAGTAAAGCTAACATTGAAAGCAAATATAAACATATTCACAGTAGAAAATACATATATTCAGAAGACTATCTAAGAATACACACTATAAAATATACAGAATAATTCAGAATACTCTCAAGTACCAATCTACCTAACTTACAGTTACTGAAAAGAAATAAAGGGACATGGACGTTTCAATGCAGTTTGAATGATTAGAAGTGGCCCAGCTACTGTGGAGTATTCAACATCTAAAAAATAATTAAATGAAAAACTATCAGACAATAAGTGGTATGTAAAGGATTCAACATTCGACCTGTAGAGACTTTAATTGCTAAAAACATTAAACCACTTAAAGTGTTTTGGTAATGTGTCATACAGATCATATTTAACTGAGGAACATAGTCTAGTAAATTGATATAGCACAAAAACAGCAGAAGTTAATCCAAAGTGCTTTCCTGGGTTAGGGATCCGCCTCAATACAGCAGGAGTCAAAGACATAATTAAAAGGCAATAACAAATAATGTATTTCCAGTCATTCAGCTGTAACAGTATTTCATAAAATTGCATCAGTTTGCTGAGATAACAATTACCATTAAGATGAGGAAGAGAATCTGTCCTTCCCCTTTGGCCTCTTTTGGTATTTTTGGATGCAATTGTCCCATTACCGATAAGGATTATATTTAATCTATTCTTGAAATTATTAGCAGTCGTCCAAATGATACAACATTTAAGACATTTTAAATAAAATGTAAACAAAAGCCGTACTACATAGGTGGCAACTAGGAAAATACGATATATATGTCATCAATTAATAAAATAAACAAAACAAGTATATATAATATACCTTTTCTTTTCTCCTCCTTCAGATGATTTTCGATCCCAACATGACCAAAAAGAAGAAGAAGAAGAAGAAGCCCTTCATGCTGGACGAGGAAGGAGGAGAGGGCGTGGGAGGAGAAGAGGCTAAGGAGGTGGAGGCGAAGGAGGCCGAGCCAGAGACAGGAGATGACAAGGAGGTGGAATTCGAGGAAGATGAAGGCAGGAAGAAAGGTTAGAATGAGATTGAGACTCCTCAGTGAGATTCCTCACTGTGCATAATACTCACACGTGACGTTATGTCATTCAGCCACCAACACAAAGGTTGTTTTGTCTTCTCCAGAGCCATCCGATGATTTGAACGACTTGAACTTCTTCAACCAAAAAAAAAAGAAGAAGAAGCCTAAGAAAGTGTTTGAAAATGAAGTCGAGGAGGGTCTTAAGGTCAGTCGCTGCTTAACCACAGCCATTTGTGTTTTCTTCTTTCTTCCATCACTTTCATTGTCTCTTTCTTGTCTTAACAACCTTCAAGCTGCCATTTCTCTTTGTTTCCTCACTAAATTTCCCTTCTCGTTGTTTTCCAAACCAGGAGCTGAAAATCGAAGGAGAGCAGACAGAGGTGCCCGAAGAGGACAACTTGGATCTGATGCTCCCTACCAAGAAAAAGAAGCAAAAGAAAGTGGACTTTGATGAGGGAGAGCTACTGGAGAAGGATGACGGTGAGAATAAGTCCACTCAGGATGTAAATTGAAGAATACAAAAAAGACACTTGTGTAATGATGTATTAATGTTTATGTGTTGTGTTATCAGCATTGGAGGATGACGAGGGGAAGAACAACGATGGGATCTCCTTCAGCTCCATCACAGGACCATCCTGGGCCGGCTCCGAAAGAGATTACTCTTATGATGAGGTAGGATGGATGGAAAATGTCCTACTTCCTTGTTGTGTGTGCTCAGTTGCATCAAAGACTAAAGCGAATGGGAGAAAAAAAGGATGGTATATTCATTTCCTGTAAGCTGGAAAAAATATGCCTGCTAAGTTAGGTCATGATGAACACATGTTGTGACGTCCTGAGGTCATAATTAGGAATCGGATTGGAAATAAAAACATACATTTGCTGGGAAAATCACTCTTTAAACTCATTACAAACTGGTATTAGTTCAGCACACTGAATCATGGCAATTAGCCAAAATGCAAACAATACAGGCTTTTAAAAAGGCATTGAAGTTATAGCCCTCGCCTTATGTACTGTCCCTGAATGATCGAAACATTATTTTGATTATCAACCAAATGGAAATAAGGCTAAACACATCAGTATAAAGTTTTTTTTATCGGGCCATCAATGACACTCCTCTATCCATTTATATAGATATTTTCCCTGTTCTAAATACCGCTGGGGGGAAAAGGCAACAACTACAACCCTAAAACAAACTCTTTGTTCATAGAAGCACAATTCTCTAACTCCTCTCGCCCTCTCTCTCAGCTCCTGAACCGAGTCTTCAACATCATGAGGGAGAAGAACCCCGACATGGTGGCCGGAGAGAAGAGGAAGTTTGTGATGAAGCCTCCTCAGGTGGTCCGAGTGGGAACTAAGAAAACCTCCTTCGTCAATTTCACAGATATCTGCAAACTGTGAGTCTCACACCTCGTACATCTCTCAAACTGTTTACACCAGCACTGCATTTTTAAACTCACCTCTCATGTATCCTTCATCACAGGTTGCATCGTCAGCCTAAACATCTCCTCGCTTTC